TATAATGACTAACACGCATGAACAAGCAACAATAATTGTAACAAAAAATAACTAATATCAAATTTAACCAAACCACATAAACAAAACTGGAGCAAAAGACCATCTGATGGCGACCTTATAACAAGGGTCAATGGGAGGGAATCACGGGCATTGGCCAATCATTTCAATCGAGGTGCACCCCAGCGCTAGGCTACGGCTATGGTTAGCTGGGTTCAGATATTTGTATATCTCCCAAAAACACACACACACTCAGGCTGATGGGCTATTTATAATTTATTAGTTCTGATATGATAAAGGAAGGGATTGATATGTTCATATCTGGAGAAGAATGGAAGAAAGCTAGACATGTAGCAAAAACTATAGCACCAAGGTATAGTATAGTGATTGTAATTGGGTTCATCCTACTCTTAATGCTCTCTCCTCCACCTCCCTCTCCCTCCCTCCCTCCCTCCCTCCCCCCTCCCTCTCTCTCTCTCTCTCTCTCTCTCTCTCTCTCTCTAGGTTTGAGCAGTATGTTGAAGAAGCTTATATTGATTTCTTAAAGGAGAGGAACAGACCAGAAGAGGTATGTGTGTACATGTATGTATTATATTTGCATTGATTATGTGGTTATTGTCAACAGATGCAACGTGTGGATCCTGATGGTGCCCTTAAGATGTACATGCAGTCAGGAGAATGGGAGCCAAGGAATTGGTAAGCATAATATAATGCCCATACATTTGTGTACACATACAGTATTTAATTTTATGTATTATAGGTTACAGATAAACTACAGATGTTGAGGGTTACTGGATATACATGAGGATGTTAATTGATCAGAAGCAGAGGCAAGCTGAGACTTCTAATCCACTAACATCAGAGTATTATATCCACTTATCCAGTAACACGAAACAGCTGTAGTTTAACTGGTTTGTACTATAGTATGTGGGCGTATGAAAGGCACTGACATCTTCTAACTACCAGAATACGACAAGGAAAATGATGCAATCCGTATATGCTTCTGTTTACACAGATAGAATCTTGATAGAACTCTATGGAAATGAAACTGGTATTCAAAGTGTATCATTCTAAAAACGATGCGTTTTGTGTTTTGCATTGCTGTGTAAATCCCTGCTGTGGTCTCCACTATATAAACTCTAGAGTTTGGTTAGCAAGACTATATAAACTCGTGGTGGTGCCTTTGATACACCCACATACTATAGTACAAATGTACAAGTACTTGTGAGTGTTCAGTAATGGATATAGTCATTACAGTGGTTTATTTGTTATTTCAGGTGCATGTAGTAGGCTCTAAAATTAATTGCTTAAATTTAATTACATATACATGTATAACATCTGTTTATCTCCTCAGGGTCCCAGTGTATTATTCAAATATGTGGCATTATATGCAGCTCATCTGATAAAGTCCAATGCTTCATTGTCAGCTCTTAAACTCTTCACTACATATGGGGTGCCTCCTTTACCTCAGAACTTTAACATATACAAGAGGCTCTGCATGGAAGTGTTTGGAGAGAGTCTTGAAGGAGGAACAGCTTATCTAACCTACTCTAGTCTCAGGAATACTGTATGTGTCTTAATTTTTGAGGTGTATTAAATTTCGTTATTTCCGTGCTCACCTTAAATCCACAAATTTAAACCACCTCTAATGCCATTCTATTGTATGTAGACTATAGCCAGAACATGAAAATTAGCTCACACAAATATTAACTTTTGAGCACATTTCATTGAAAACACTAAATTTTAAACACTCGAAATTTGAACATATACAGTATGTTATTCTCTATTGTAAGTGCCTGTTAATCTACAGTATAGTGGCATGCACACACACACACATGTACATTGTACATTCCTACTCATGTACATGTTTATCTTGGAAAAATTCCAGTTGTAAATTTTTGCTATAATTCTATGGAATATATGGACACACACATGTACAATACACACAAGAATTTATACACACATATATGTACAGTGTACAGTACAATGAGTATAATGTTTATGCATATTAAGTTAGTGTACTGAGTTTCCAATGTACAATGTATTATTGTATAACATACATGTGTATGTATAGACTGTTGTATGTACACATGTATAAGTATATGTATAACGTTTCATCATTTCTCATGCTGTTCCTTCTCACTGGCAGGTTGATGAGCTATCACGTACATCAGAGTCTGGCAGTTTGAGTTGTAGAGAATTTGAGCAATATCTATTGGTATCACATTATCTTGCTACTCGATCAGCTTGCAGTAGAGTACCACAGCTCAATGGTATAGTAGCTAAGATATCAGTATCACTCCTATGCCACACTGATGTCATACCTGCTGATAGAGCTTTCTATCAAACTGGGATGTACTGTAAGCATGGGCGGTTGCAGAAATTTGGTTTGACCTGGGCATCAATAATTAGTGGGTGTGGAGTGGGTGTGGTTCCATACAATTTTGCAAGGAAAATGGACAATACTGATCTATAACTTCATTGAGATGATTTCTTAGCATAAAACAACAAAGAAGCCTGTTGAACTACCACAGTTTACACTGGATGCCCACACCAGAATCATGAATATAATTATTGGTCAAAAAGTCAACCTGGGCATTGCCCCCTAATGCCCAGGCCTGCAACCGCCTATGACTGTAAGGTCAGTATCATAGAGTATGATAGGAAAAATAGATAAGAGAGGGGGAGAATAACTATACATAATTGTCCCAATTAATGCACCCTCCTAATTATTACACCTGACATGGCTTCAATGATAAAAAATTAGCCTCTTGGTCAAGATAATTATTTTTGGGAAGTGTGTTATAATTAGAAACTCCATTGCTTACAGGTGTATTGTGTACATGTATATTGCTATGCATCTCCACCTCCTCCAGCATTTCATAATTGTTCCTATTTTAAACAATGCACCACTACCATTTTATATTAAAAGGTGCATTAATTGGGCCAGTATAGTAATCTTATTTGTGCACCAAAGTATTTGTATTGTCCATGCACATGCACATGCACCTGTACCTATTTAGTGATTAATTGTGTTCTATTAATAGGCAGTTGGATTGGAAAGCATGGCGTTCATATTCTATAACAGATTCCTGGATCTCAGTGAAGTAAGATGCATGTTAATTTCTTATATTAAGTATAGCCAAGAGCATAGCTATAATGGTCATTTTTAAAATTTTCCAATGTCAGGCTATTGAAGAGGGTTCATACTTCATTGGATATGATTGATAACAGTGATTTTGTTGATACTGATATTCCATTTGAAGTACCACTGCCAGAACAACCTTTCATGACAGTAAGGAATCATACGTGTACAGTACAGCTGAATCTACACTCTCATTAACATGTATATCCTATACTACAGAAACTTGTTGTAAGAAGTTGTTATCAAACTACTATAGTTCACTCTTTATTTTTATGCCTCTTATGTCAATTATTTTTGCTTTATGTTCACACTATACAAATACTTAGCATACATGTATGTACATGTATATGTATGATTACATTATAAAGTTCTTCTGTTTTGTTACAGGAGGATAAACGAGAAGAGATTAAGGAATGGGTACTGGCCCTCTCCATGGACAGACAGGTGACTCATAATGAGAATCAACCATTACCTTATTCCCTTAATCCAGGTGGAACAAACACTACCACTTGATGATGAGAGACAGACTTATGTTGCATCACTGACATCACCTCATACTGGAGTCACCTCATTGCCTTGCATTGTAATAGGTCCGGCACTAAAATACATGTACATCTACCTTTGATCATAAATATTCACTATAATAGATAATTTTGTGTCATTATGTACATGTACTACTCAAAGTGGTTGCCCAAAAATTCTTTTTGTGGCAGCAAAGTGTCCCTAGGCTAGAGATCAAAATAACCACAGAGTTGCCTAGGGGATGGATTTGATCTAATCTATATGTAAACTGTCTGGGATGCAATATTATGTATGTGTGTAGGTTATCCAGTATTGAAGCAAAAGGTTGAGTTTAAACGTGGTGGGAGGTGTGCTAACAAAGGGGACTGGACCAAGTTTGTTATGAATACAAAGGTCAGAATTATAAAGTCAGGAAACTGAAAATAATTTCTCTCTCTCTCCCAGGCATCTCAAAATGAAGAGTGCTTGGATGTTGTTCATTTTATAACCAAGTGGTACGGTCAACCACTTAATCCAGCTCACACGTTCTAAGACATTAAAAGTTTACTGTAGTAAATGGTGCATATGCCATTAGCAGATACATCACTTAAAATTATTTTATCAAAAAGTTTTAAGAACAATGCATTCACAAAAATTAAGTAGCTATGTTTCAGAAGTAGAAGCAGCCTCGCAGAGTGCTCCTTATTTCAGGCATCTGGTGGTACCGATATGTTTTACCATCCTTTGTAACTTTCTTGGGCTCACCTGCCACTTTATGGTTAACAACTAGCAGTATCCTTCAATG